AAAAGTGCCTGGAGAACTGAAGCAATGGTCTGGAACCATCAGATCAGAAATAATCAGTGTTGAGGGGAAGCAAGGATTTGAATTCCCATCATCCCGTCTCTAATATGACCCAAACCTGGTGGCCCAGAGTCCTCTGAGGGACACAGGATAAACAAGCCAAAGTCTCTGCTCCTCAGCAGAGTCTGTGTTGCTGGGGTTTGAAGCCAGTTACGATCTGTAGCGAGAAGGTACAAAGTTCAGAATGCTGTCTCGAGCAGCTTCCTATATCGTCTTTGCATCAGTGTCGCCTTAAGTTTCCTCGTTTCCTGAGGAACTCCTGGGAGGATTTATATTTTAAGAGGGGAGGCGGTTCTCCCACAAAACGCGGGATCCGTACCTTGTGTAAAAGAGATTTTAAAAAATTGTTTTTTAAATTATTGAAAAGAGAAAGGGAACAGTCTGCAAAGGAAGAGCGTTCAGAGCTGTTTGGGACTGCAGAAATTCTCTAGCCTGATTTCTTAATTTTGTGGCAGAAGAGACAAGCTCCAGCGGAGCAACTGGACCTTCCCAAGGTCACAAGCTAGTAAGAGGGGACGAAGTGTGTACCCGGGCCCTGTCCCAGCGCTGGGCCTCGGGAATGCTCCCTCAACGCTAGTGTTTACCCGGCAGCCACGCCCGCCCAGGGCCCGGGATCAGTGGGCAACCTGATACTCGCTTCTGTGGCTGCCAGGCCCCGTACGGCCGCCCTCGGACAACCTCTGGGTCGCGCGGGAGGAGGCTCGCAGGCCTGGCTCGGCTCCCGGTCTCACGACCCGGGGCAGGATCCCAGCAACAAAGAGCCCGCCCCTCCCCCTTGCCGCCCCTCCAGTCGCCGCCGCACGTGCGGCGCCTCGTGCACACAAGGCGGCCCCGCCCCCCTCAGCCATTGGCTGTTGGCGCCTCCCTCCTCTTCCCCTCCCCTCGCTGCCAGACTCTGCTGCGGCTCCACGTGATCCGCAGGACCCGCCCGTCTGCTCCCAGCCCTGCCTCCCTCCTGACTCTCAGGTGAGGTGGTTAGAGCAGACGTGAGGCAAAAGGAAGAGTGGCAGTGGCCTGGGAGAACGGTGGGGGGCACGAAGAGGGTAGCGAAGGGCAAAAATTGGCAGGGGAGTAAGGGGCTACTCAAGAAAATGAGCTGCGACACAGACTTCGGCAGGCGCGCGCTCCTCACCTGTCTCCACACGTGTCCCGCTCGCCTAAGCCGCCTGGCCAATCTGGGTTCTCAAAGCCGCGCCCACCCCTTCGCAGTGTGAACCTATCCAGAGACGCGCTCTGGGACCGCCGGCTTGGCCTCATGAATAATGAATATGCGGGAGCCTGTCCACAGGCGGGGAAGCGGTGGGGGGGGGGTGTGCGGCGGCGCGCCTGCGCAGTAGCTGCC